TACTAAAGCCAGATAAAGACAAGAAAACTAGAGGCCAACACCTCTCATGAACACAGATGCAAAATCCTCAACAAAATATTAGCAAACTAAACCCAAGAAAGTGCAAATTGGGATTTATGCTCGGTATGCAAAGATGGCTCAACATTTGAAAAAAAAAATCATGAAGTCTGTCCCATCAGCAGATTAGGAAGAAAAACCACCTGCTCACATCAATGGATGCAGAGGAAGCGGCTGGCAAATTCCAACACCAAATCATGATCAAGTGTCAGAATCAGAGAGAGAGAGACCTCCTCAGCACGACCAAGACCACGTGCGGAACCCCTCCCGCCGGCGCGCTTAATGGTGAGAAAGTCGAGGCTTTTCCACTAACATCGGGCGGAAGGCAAGGATGTCCCCTCTTCGCCGCTCCTTTTCAACGTCGTGCTGGATGTCTGTGCTAACGCATAAAGTAAGAAAATAAAATAAAAGGCTTACAGGTTGGAAAAGAAAAAACGAAACTGTCTTTGCTCACAGAGGACATGACTATCTTCGCAAAAAATGCAAACAAGGCAACAAAAAGCCTCGTGAGGTTAGTGGAGTACAAGGTTAACATACGACACGCTGCTAAGGGGAACAAGTCAAGACGCCTGACCCCACGCGACTCCAAGAATTACTGTAAGGCCACGGTCGTCAAGGCGGTGTGGCGTGGGGCGGGCGGCGTTGGCGATAGCACAGGTCAGTGCATCAGCGGAACTGAAGAGTCCAGAAGGAGCCACACAGACACACCCGACGGACCTGCGACACAGGAGCACGCGCAGTGCGGTGGGGAAACGGTCTGTTCGACAGATGGGGCCGAGCGACGGGACACCCGCAGCAAAGACACTAACTCACACGTGTCACAGGTTTGAATGTAAGAAGCAGAACCGTAAGCCTCCTGGGAGACAATAGAGAGAAAACCCAGACGGCCCCAGTGGTGAGGGCTTCGCGGACGCAAGACCAAAGCTCCGAGCAGGGAGAGACAAGCCGATGCGCTAGAATTCCTTAACAGTGACACAGCGGCTCTGCCCCAAGCGCAGCAGCGGGAGAAGAGCTACAGACCGGGAGAAGCAACGGCAGGAGACGGGTCTGAACAAAGCCTAAAACACACGAGAATTTTCTAGGTTCAACAAAATGAAGAACGTATTTTAAAATCGGCAAAAAACCCAAAGGACACTGAGGAATATACGAGTGTATGAGAAGCTGCCCCACGTCCCAGGTCACCGGGGAGATGGAACGCAAACAGCGGCGACACCGCTGCACGCCTCCGAGGGCGGCCACGGTCTGGCGAGGACGGGAGCGCCCGGAGCGCCCGGTCACCGCTGCGGGGAAAGCAGGTGGTGCCGCCACCTCGGAAGGAGGTTTGGTGGTTTCTCCCAAGACGAAACCTGCTCTTCCCATCCGACCCGGCGATCGCGCTCCCTGAGGTCCCCCCGCGGTGGACGGGAACACACGTCCCCACAGAAACCTGCCCACGAGGGCGGCAGCAGCTCCGTGCGTAACTGCCGACCCTCGGAAGCCACCCAGGGGCTCTTCAGCGGGTGGACGGACACGGGAACTGTCCCTCCAGCTGGGAGAGGGTGTTCAGCGCGAAGAGGACATGAGCCATCCCGCCATGAGGGGACGCGGGGGGCCGTGAGTGTGTCACTGAGTGACAGGAGCCGGTCTGAGAAGGCTGCGGCCCGTGTGACCCCAGCGACAGGACTCTCTGGCGAAGGCACAGCGGTGGGGCTGGTGACAGGTCTCATTGCAGTGGTGGGAGGAGGAGGGACAAATGGGCGGAGCACGGCAGACGGGGAGGGCAGAGGACTCTGTAAGACCCCGCAGCGGGGGATGCCCGTCCCTACGCAGCCGTCCCAACGCACAGAACGCCTGCCCCGAGAGGGACCCTCCCGTGAACGATGGACTCTGGGGGATGACGACGTGTCCGTGTGGGCTCATTCACGGGAACAGACGCAGGACTCGGGTGCGGGATGCGGACAGTGGGGGAGGCTGTGCCTGCGTGGGGACAGCGGCTGTATGGGAAATCTCTGTTTTCTCCTGTGAATTTTACTGTGAACCTAAAAGTGCTCCGAAAACTGAAGTCAGTATAAACGCGCGCAGAGTGCCACCAAGGGAAGCCCTGTAGAGAAAAGAAATGGAGAGGCAGTTGCTCCCAGCGGTGGGGATGGGCTAGGAGGGGCCCTGGAGCTGGGCTAAGGGCAGACGCCCAGATGGGGCTCTGCACGGACCCATTACTGGCAGCCTCAGGACTTTAGCACCCACCAGCACGTTCATGCCAAGCCCACCGCCCTTGGGGTTCCTGGAGTCTGCTCTCCTGGGGCCCTGGCCCATGGAGATGGCACCTGAGAAACCAAAACCACGTACACGTCAGCAGGCCAGGCCGACGGCAAGGCGAGGCGCAGAGGGCGAGGCGAGGAGACACACCCACGAACACGCTCCTCGGCCTGGTCTCTGTGTCAAGGCGTTTCCGGGACCACCAGCCACGGTCTGGTCACGGACACCAGGCCCATCGCCCGTGCCCTCTGCCCCCCAACACCTGGGGCGCCCCTGAACCCACTCTCTGGCCGTTCCTGCTGGGCCTCCATCCGGAACATTCTTCACACACAGCCTCATCCCGTCCACCTGGGCCTCCCCTTCCCCCCCCCCCAAGCTGTGGGACAGCGCCCGGCATTCAGGAGGCACCCGGTGTTGTCAAACCCCGGCCGGCTCTCTCTGGGTCCTCCCAGCACGTCGGGTCTCCTCCCTGAGCACAGGCCCAAGCACCAGTCTGTCTGCCTGACCTCCCGCCCCGCAGGGCTGCGGTGACAGCTGAGTGAGCGGGCGCTGGGGCCTCTGGTGCACGGAAGCCACACACACTAGTGTCCCCACACCTTGTCACCACGGGGGGACCATGAGAGGAAAGCAAGACGGACGCGTGCCCTTCCAAACCGGCGATCAGACGCCTCATCCTTCCAAGAAGCCACAGGACGGAGGACGATGCCCGCACGCGGAGAACCACGTGAACGCTACCGACACAGCGCTCCCGCGGGGCCTCGTCCTCGTGTCCCCCTTCCCTCCCTGCGCACCTGCCCTTCCAGAGAAGCACAGCGAGAAGAGGGGACCCCGTCAGCCCGCGTTTCCTGAGTGTGGCTCTGGGTCCCAAAGTGCCCGACATCACCCACACCCTGTGCGGAGACCCCTGAGGGGGCGGGTAGTGGCTGCCGTGTGTGGGACCCGCCAAACGCCTCTCTGCTGCGGAGGCATGTCCCCGCGTGTCCAGAAGACGTCCAAGTGCGGCGCAGACAGGCTCCTCCTCACCATTTACTGACGAGCACGTGGCGGGCAGACGACCCAGGACGCGGGGAAGGCCTTCCTGGCCCGGGAGCGGCGTCAGCCTCCACGGATCGCCGCACACCAGGAAGGGCCATGGGCGCACGGCAGCCGGGACACTCTGCTCACCGAGGCCCTTGAAGAAAAGGCCAACGGGAGAAGGCACGCGCGCCTGCTGGGGACACGCCAGCACAATGCACACGAACTCCGATCGTCAGCCGGACGCCGGCCACGTGCTCTGCCACAGCAGACCGCCAAGGGCCAGAAACGGCTGACAGAAAAGGGACTGGCGATAGCAGACATCAAGGAGACACCAAAGAAAACCTCGTCCACTGAGGCCAGGCTCCAAACCCCCTACCGCCCGGCGGCCCCAACCGGACACAGCACCCCACACGCCCGTGAACACGCCCACACCCACCAGAGCGCTTGCAAAGGCAGTGCTCACGCGACATGGGAAAGCTGCGGAGGGGCCCACAGGGGAGCACGTCCATGAAGGAAAGCCACACGTGAAGGGTCCCTGTGCCCAGACCCCAGTGTGCTTGGCCCTAGTGGGGGCGGGGAGGGCCTCTGCCCTGCGGTCCCACCGCGGTGTCGGCCAGGACCTCTCTGAGCTGCACGCCTTGGGGCCAGGCACTCCTCCCTACGCACACGTGTGCACACGTAAAAAGGGTTTTGACATGTTTCTTAGGAAGGAGACAGTGTTCCGTGGTGACCTGACCTCTGACGGGCCCTGGGAGGCTACCCGGGGCCAGGGCAATCCTGGTGTCTGCAGGTGGGCCACGGGGGCTCCTGCCGCGGGGGGACACAGGCAGGCCCCCAGAGAACAGAGTTCCCGTGAAGGTCAGACGTGCCGAGGCCGGCTGGCAGACACGCGGTTTGCCGGGGCAAGGGGCTGCACGGCATCAGGCATCACGGCTCCATGCCCGGGCCCCAGGAACCACGAGGCTCATCATCACTTACCTCTTATGGCAGTTGGGGGAGGGGAGCCTGGGTGCCAGGCCCCAACTGAACGGCCCGGAAGTGCACCCCCGCAGCTGCCCCCACCCTCCTGGGGGTCACAGGACAGGGACTGGGAGGGGAATGTGCTACAGCGGGGGAAGCCCACACCACCTCAGGCTGCGCCCCGGCTGTCCCTCCCCCGACAGAAGCGCACACGCGACGCGGGCTACCAGCTGGTGTTGTGCTGGATGCCTCCCTGCGCCCTCTCTACCGCCTCATACCGGCGGCTGCCCGCGGGCTGGGACCGACCCGACAGTCCCCGCCCCGCCGGCTGACCACACGGGCCACGCGTCCGCAACTTCCCTTCCTTCCTGGAAAGCAAGGAACCTCGCTTCCGCCGCCCACGCCAGCTTCAGAAGGCGTCCGTCACATGAGCCGGCGGAGTGTCCGTCTGGGAGAGGAGTTTATTCTCCCGGCCTCAACGCAACCCCTTTCCGCTTTAGTGCGCGTTTACTCCGGGTTACACAACTTTCAATTACCAGCGAGCGTGATAATTCAATTTCCTAACTACTAGATTCATAAACGCAAAACAATTCTTCCCTCCCGAATGCCAAGCATCCTAAGGCCACACGTAACACAGCACAGTGACGTCTCTCCCCGTCCTCTTCCTGAACCAGCAGCCCCGCTTCCCTCTCGGGTCCGGCCTGAGCCCACGGAGGCCTCCTCCTCGGGCAGAGGTGCCTACGGGAAGTGGATTCCCGCCCGCAGCCAGGGGCAGGGGCACGTGGGCCGCCAGCTCCACCTGGTGGAAGACGCAGGGCCGGCGGCACGATCACTTCCGACAGAGTTCCAGCACCTTCTTCACCATGGCCCCGATGCCGTCGTGGATGTGGTGGAGCTCCGTCTCGCACATGAAGGCCGGGGTCGTGACCACCTTGTTCTTCTGGTCCACGTGAGCTTCGTGCACAGAAGTTATGGAAACGCATCACCTGGCAAGGACTAGGGGATCGCAGGTGCGACGTGTCCAGCCCGGTCCCCGCGGCCGCCCCACACCAACCTGCAGCGGGCGGAAGTGCACCTAGAGCAGAGCTCACCCACAGCAAGAGGCCAACCCGGGACCTCCCTCTGCACGAGCCACGTTCCTGTCCTGGTCACCCAGACACTGGCAGACACAGGTCTGGCCCTGTCCCATGCTAACAACATGCGCCCTCCTGCGCCCAACCCCAAGGCCACGTGGCCAGCCCACCCGGACGGCTGCAGGCTCTGCCCCCCTCTGCACAGGGGGGAGACGGAGCGCCACTCGGGACACCGTCCACGAGGAGAGAAAGGCAGCTTTGAGACGGACACCCAGAGGGACACGGTGCTGTCTCCAGAGCCCCAGGGGACACTGTGCAGCTCTGCTCCTCAACCCTGGCCCACGTGGAGAGTCTGGGTCCAGCTGTGGACCCAGAACGCGGTCAGCCTGTGGCCCGAGGCTCTGTGCACACAGCACCCAGGCACCCACAGGAGGACCAGCGGCCCACGAGGCCACGTGGGATGGCTCCCTGTCCATGGCGCCCAGGGAGCTTCCAGCTGAGCCAGGCAGCTCCCCTGTCCGTCTTCCACTGCAGCCCCCCCCACCCTGGGGCGCCTGCTGCCCCCACCCCCCGCCCAGAAACCTGACCCCACGGAGCCTGAGGCCACGCACTCGCCTGACCAGGTAGTCTTGTGGGGCTCCAGGCCTGGGCAGTAGGTGTGACACCCGTCGTGCACATGCTCCCAGACGCCCCAGCAGCACAGACCCTCATTTAAGATGCTGCCTGCCTGGGTCCGTCCCTGAGGTCAGAGGACAGGTCCCCACACCACACGCTGCTGCCACCCCAGCTGCCGGAAAGGATATGGTCACTCCCTTCACGCAGTGCTTGGCGCCCAGCGCTTTGATGGCTGCCGCGGTCCCTGCGTAGGGCCACCTGCCGCCTTCCTCCTGCTCGTGGCCCACGGTGACCTCAACACCACGGAGCACTTTGGCCGCGAGGACGGGAGCGATGCAGCACAGGCTGGAAGACAGGACAGGGTGAGCTCAGGGCTACACGTGCGCATGCCAGGGCCGGGGTGGGACTGACCGTGAGGATGACCCCAGCAGCGACCACTGAGCCACGGAGCGAGGAGTGTCGCAGCGACATGAGCCTCCGCTCACTGCCCCATGCACTGCAGCCCCCGCAGCAGAGGGCCCGCGGGCACTGGCCGCCCGCCGTGGTGGCCGCAGAGAAGGGCTCTCAGAAGGCAACAGTGGACTTCAACCTGAGTTTTGGGTGGCTTTTCACACAGCAGCAGCGGACCCCAGGGCACGGATGTCCCAGAGACGCCCTCTCCGCAGAGGGTGTGAGAAGCGGTCTCAGCGGGCCAGTGAGTGTGCCCGGCACCACGGCAGCCAAGGGCCCCCACCACGAGAGCCCCGAGCCCCGCTACACCCCCAGTGGGCCAATCCCAGGGTGTCGGAGGCCCGCGGTTCACTCTGGGTGCTCCCGCAGGGCTCCTCGGAGGCTCTGCTCCCACCAAGAGGTCCCGCTGACCGGAAGCGCCAGACCCAGGCCTACCCACGGCCATGCACGCGGGGGACACGTGTGGCACCACCACGTGGCTGCAAGTCAGGCTGCCCCTGCCCTCCCTCAGGGCCCATGCACGCCGCTGGCGGCCCCTGCCCAGCTCATGGTCAGCACGGCCTGTCTGCGGCTCCCGTGTAGGCCTGCACGGCTCGTCCCCAGGCTGCTCCGGCGCGCCGTGAGAGTGACGTCAACACACTCTCGTTCCTCCTCAAACATCACGCCTAAAACACCCGCCAGAAATGCGTGGGAGAAAATCTCCCTCAGCCACCAAGGAGGCAGGAAGCCATCAGAACTGGCATCCTGAAGCGCCCACATCCCAAGCCTGGCGGCCAGGGCACGGGACACACAAGCCAGCAGTGTGGCCATCAGCCCTCGAGTGGTGCTGCTGGCACAGCCGCCCACCCTGCTCTCAGGCTGCGGACGCCGGAGCCGAGGCTCTCGCTGGTACCGCTCAGGGGACACCCAAGCAAGGCGGCACAGCCATCGGGCCCCTCGCTCCCGCCTGCGCTCGTGATACAGGGTCGTCCCTGGTGCTCACCACATGAGTGGGAGCTACTCTGGGGCTCGCGTCCCAGGAGGGGAGAGGCAGGGGCCAGTGCCGTCCCCCGCTCCCGGGTGGCCCAGCTCGGTGTCTTCTAAGCCCATGGGCTGCCAGCCTACGGACCCGAGGCCAGAGCCTTCCGTGAGGATGGCTCCCGCACCGTGACCGGCAGGACTTCTGGCGAGTGACCCGCGTGGGGACTGTCGTCACGCGACCCCTCTCACGCAGCCGCAGAGGCTGCCGCACTCCCTCGTCCACACCCGCGTTCAGCGCATCCGGCGGAGCTCCGGGGACGCTTCTCGCACCAGCGGACCTGCGCCACCCCCACGCCCCGGCACGCTTGTGCCGACAAGCCAGGGCCGGTGCAGCCCGCCTGGCGAGCTCCGGTCGGGGGCGCGGTGGCCTGCGGGAGTCTGGGTGCATCTAGAATGCCGCCCCAGGGCAGGGGAGGGCGCTGGGCCAAGGAGCCCCAGGCCGCCTGGAGACAGCAGACACCTGGCGAGGGGAGGAGGTGCTGGCAAAGCCGGGGGTCGGGGAAGGACTGACGGGGAGTCTTCTAGAAGCCCTCCTTCCCGTGAGGTCAGCAGAATGAGTGACCGTGACCACAGCATTTTCCCAGCCAAAAGGCGCCCGTGATGACGCGTGAGCTCCAAGTGAAAACGGCCTCGAGGACCGTGCAGCCCTGCCCTCCCCCCTGCCCCGACCTACCCAATAGGCTTGCCGGCCGCGTGGAACTCCTTCAGGACCCGCTCCACGTCCCCGTGGACCTTGCAGTCTTTCCCGTCAGCGGCAAACGTGCTCCTACCACGAGAAGAGGCAGCTCAGCTCTCACGGCCGGGGGTCAGCCTGCCCGGGGCCCCGACCCTACCTGGGAAACGGCCGCGCGGCCGCGCTAACTCCCCAGATCCCAAGACAAGCAGGTCACGTGCGTGAGGTGGGTTTTCAGGTAATCACGTACGTTACTTTTTCTACTTCTTCCAGCCCAGCGAGGGAGGGGGCGGCCGAGAGGTGAGGTGGGGAGGCTGGTCCCCGGGAGAACCACAGCCGGCAGGTGCCTGGGCTGCGGGCCACACCCACTGCATCCTCAGAGGTCGGCTCCGTAAGCCAAGGAGGAGCAGGACATGCTGTGGGCCTCAAAGCCGTGACCTGCCGTCCACACATGAGGAAGACGCACGGGTTAGAGGACAGGACACCGCGCCTCTCTCCATGCCAAGCGCGGCTCGGGGGTCTGGACGGCCTCCCCGCCCACTGGCTGCACGCCGGCACCTCTCTGGGAGGCAACTGGTGAGCCCCAAAGCACATACACTCTCCAGGAGCCCCACTCTGGCTCCCTGGCACGCGCGTGTGCGCACCTCCAGCCCAGGAACGTGTGGGCGCCATGGGGCTCCGCCAGCCTGCGGCCTGACCGGCCGAGCTGTCCCGCGTCACGCTTTATTACGCATCAACTGTGTCCCCCAGAAGCTAGTAGCAGCCCAGACGTGAGGCCTGGAAACCACGCGTGTCCATCCGTGTTGGGGCGTCTGCCCGACGGGTCTGTGCGTGCAGCCACGAGGTGCTTAACGGGCCACCGACAAGCCACCGTTTGTGACACACAAAAACAACAAGAAGCTTAACAGGCCTCCAACTGGTCACACTTTGCTTTTTTTAAAAAAGACGTCATCTCAGAAAGCGAGAAGGTGTGTGTGCGCAGAGGGAACGCAGAGAGAAGGAACGTCCGCCAGACCCCGTGCGCGGAGCTCCCGCTCACAACCCTGGGACCACAGCCTGAGCTGAAACCAAGTGCTGGACGCTCGCCCGACAGCGCCAGCCCGGCGCCCGGTCAGACGTCACACAACCACACGGGGACCTCTGGAACGTACACGTGAACGTGCAACCAGGGCAGGGACGGGCCCGAGGCTCCCCACAGCAAGAACTTCGGACCCCAGCGAGCTCGCCTGCCGCCCCTCGCTGCATCACACGGCCCAACCGGCAGCCGCGGCGAAGGGCGCCAACCCCACCAAGCTGACGTTTCCTCTCGAACGGCCAGGATGAATGAGGCAGGAAACCTGAAGCCCCAGCTTGCCCGGGGGGTGAGTTCACAGACGGGGGCGCTGACCCAAGGCCACGGCTCCCTGGAACGCAGGGCAAAGACCTGCCAACAACCTGCTCACCTCCCTCCTGTGCTTCTAGGTCAACCGCGTGTGGTCATCAGCTGTGCCACGGGCACAACCCCAGCACAGCCCGAAAGTGCCCTCACCCGGGCTGGGCGGGGGAGAGGCGGGCAATGGTCAGAGTTCAGGCTCACCTTCCCCAGGAAAAGCCCCAGGGCCTGGCAGAGTGAAGCCAACGGAGGCCACTCCCCTCCAGCTTCTGCCAGGTGCGCGTGCAGGCGGTGGGGACGAGGGCAGCTCACCCGAGAGGCTGGCATTTGGAGGACGGAGCGGACAGGAGGAGAGGCAGGGCTCCCAGAGGAGGAAGCAGTATGGGAACCGGCTCCACAGGCGGAACAGAGGCTCGGGACCTGGACAGACCTGTTCGGGTGTCTGCAGGCCGACGGGAGCCATGCAGCGTCAGAACACCTCAGGTCCCTAACTGCCTGTGTCCCTCACTTCTGGGTGCAGGGCACCGGGACACAGCGAGCCAGGACACTGCTGCAGGGGGACAGCGCCCACCAACCAACCAAACAGGGTGCAGGGGGCAGTGCTCACTAGGGTCCCAGGCTCGACCCCTGCCCCACCCCATACCCTGCACACAAGGAGTCCAGAGGGAGGCAGGGCTGACAGGGGACGGTCCAGGTGACAGAATGTGGACAGGACACTGTGGTGCGAGCGTGGGGCAGGCAGCTGGCCACGCAGATCAAGAAGGGGGGAGGTCTGCGGTCCAGATACAAACAGAATTCCTGGCGGACGTCAGAGAAAGGCGCCGGGGCAGGAGGGGAGACCCCACAGGGGGCAGCAGGAAGAGGAGGGGGAGAAGAGGAGCCTGCTGCAGGAGGCACGGTGGGCGGAGACCTTCGAGAGGAGACCCGATGGCACAGCAAGGAAACCCAGCGAGTGCTCGCGGGCCGAGGCTGTGCAGGAGGGCGCCAGCAGCACCCCACACCCGCCTGGTCTGGGAGCAGGGGGGAGCAGGGAGGCGGAGTGGGGGGCTGGCTGCCCGAGCTCACAGCCAGCCATGCTGTCAGGGGCGCCTGGCCGTGGGCCACAGCAGCCGGCTAGTCTACGATCCAGGGAGATGCTCCCCGTGGAGCCCAGTCTGCTGGGTTTCCACTGAAACCTGCCGAGTCCAGGCTGTTACCCCCACTAGGGTCCCCGTCTGACCCCAAAGCAGGTGACGCAGCTGCTTCCTGTCCTCCCACGCCAGCTGCAGTGGGGCTGCCTCGGAAGGGACAAGCCGGGACGGCGCGGCCAGCACAGAGCACTTCCGTGAGGCACACACAGACAGGTAGAGAAACGGGAACAGAAACGGGACCTGAAACCCAAGGGACGTCACGCCGACGTGGTGACAGCTTGTTCTCCGGCTACCATGGCAACGACCAGAGAACAAAATGAGGAAGGGCTCCCTTCCTCCCGTCAGACCAGCCTCCACACAGCCCATGGGAACAGCGGCTTCCCTGCCACCAGGCCCGCGAGGCGGTGGCATCCGTGAGGAACACGTGCAGGGACGCAGGTCCTGATGGGACCAGCCCGGCCAGTGCGTCGCTGGATCAGAGGAAGCCCACGCCGCCCACCCCACGGCGGCCGGTACCGGGAACACCCAGCAAGAAGTGAGAGAAAAACCTGCGTCGTGCTGACGTTACACCGGGGCCCCCGACAGAGCAGCTCCGAGCAGCCTCTGGGACCCCACGCCCCGTCCCTCGCGGCGCTCCAGCACTCACAGGTTCTTAGCGGCCCCGAAGCCTCCGGGGAAGATGGCGGCGTCGTGATTGGCCACGCTGAGCCGGGCCAGGTCGGTGATCTTGCCGCGGGCGATCCTCGCAGACTCCGTCAGGACGTTCCTGGGAGAGAACAGAGAGGCCCGAAGTCAGCGTCAGGGTGTGGAGGGCAGAGCCGGGCTTGCGGGAGGCCGGCCCACGAGCAAACGCGCGCGCGCTGAGGTCAGCGGCTAGAAAGACAGCCTTGCCCCGCGCAGCCTCTGGCCCGCTTAGTCCTGGGCCTGACAAAAGCAGGCGTGGGAAGGTCCGGGTACCCCAGAGGCAGAGGGCAGCAAGCCAGGGCCTGCCCCAGCAGAGACCGCACTGCCTTGGCTGGACCCTGCAGCCGGAGCAAGACGGGAGGGCCAAAGGGACCTCAGCGTGTGCCAAGACTGCACGGGCCTCGGGGAAAGAAATGCTCCGAGACCGGGGCCCACACAGGGCGGGAGACAGGAGTCCACGCTGATCGCAGGGCAGGGGTCATGAAAGCCAGCAGGAGGACTTCCGGCAGGCGGCAGAAGGTAACGAGCGCCACCACGACACCGTCGCGGGACAGCCCGGACGCAGCCAGATTCGCGGCCGGGACAACGCAACAAGCCCGCGGGGTCTCGGGCAGCTTCCAGCAGGTCCCGGTCCACGCTCAGGACTCGGGGAGGGGCCCACACCTGGTCTCACTCTCGGAAGGCTGCCCCTTGGTGTGGTCGACCACGTGCATCTGAGGGATGTCAGGAGCGAAGATCTGGACCTCGGCCCCGCCGCGGCTCAGGTGGACCAACACCCTGCATGGGAGAAAGGAGACCGATTCCCACCCGGCGCTGCCTGTCACTCCGCGCACGGGCAGCGCCCCACAGAGGGCCCCGTGCACACCCCTTACGGCAGCTACCATCACGGGGCCTTCCCGCAGGCTACGGCCGGCTGACCAAGGACCCCCACGTCCACAGTTCAGATTCGCTGCCACCGAACCAGCCTGGAGAGCCCAGCTGGTCCCCCAGCTCCCTCTACATACCGGGGTGCAGGGGCGGGCACCAGGCCGGTCCCAGCCTGGAATTCTCGGTTCCCAGGATGCTTTGGGGGCTCTTCCTCCCACAGACGATCGACACAGGACGGGAGGGCTGGGTCGGGCTTCCGTCAGGACAGGAGGCTCGAGTCCTGCTCTGCCCCACCCTTCCCGTCACAGCCAAAGGGCCAGGGGAGACATCCAGGTCTCCCCGAGGGCTGATCTGTTCCAGGCCCGGGGCTCTCACTGTCCCGCTTCAGAGGCGGCGTGAGCGGGTAGGGCCAGCACCGCCCCGTCACTCGGGCTCGGCTCCTTGTAACCTGCAGGGCTCTCCGCACTCGACTCCGTGTCCACCCACTACCCCGTGCTCCCGTGTTCTCGTGCCCCGGCCCCGAGCCCCCTTCTGGAAGCTCTCCTGGCTCTCCACTGCCCACCAGCTCTGCACACGCCGAAGTCCACTGCGGGCCGGTGCCCACGCTGGATGGGAGGGCAGGCGCAGGCTGGGGGTCCTCGGGGTCCTCTGGGCTCCCTGTGGCCCCGCACCCGGGAAGGACATGTCCCCCAGCCACGTGCTAACTCTCCTCCAACCTGCTCCAGGCCCACAAGGCCTAGCGCTCTGGCGCACAGAAGCCTTTTCACTCGGGTAAGAGAAGGACGAGCAACCGCTGACGGGTCCCATCAAAGACACGGGCCGAGGCGGGGGCTCACCCAGAGAGCCAGAACCAGGACGCCCACGCCCGCCCCCGCCCCGGAGGGAAGCAGCAGGCGCTAACAGGACACCAGAAGTGCTCCCTGCTTATCTCTGGGGCACAAGGCCACGGACTCGAGGGGCTCCCTGCCCTTCACTTCTCAGCTCACTGGCTTCTGCCTGTCTAGACGAAGGGTCCCCAAATGGTTCAGGAAAAGGCAACCGTCCCTGAGGGCTTACGCTGAGGCCTCGTGGAGCTCAGTCCCATCGTAGACTCCACATCCAGACAGCACCTGTGGGGGAGCGAGGGTCGGGGGGAGTCCACCTGGAAGCCGCTGGCCTGGGGGCGGGGGGCGGGGGGGCGTGTGTGTGTGTGTGTGTGTGTGTGTGAGAAGAAGGGCAGGCCCAGAGAAGAGAATGGAACTGACCCTGGAGGGACAGAGGCGAGGGTTGGGGGTTAAGGGAGGAGCCTGGTGGCCCAATCCAGAGAGGAGGCTAGGGGGCCTTATCTGGGGGAGCAGGGGGAGCAGCAGCAGAGGGGTTAGGGGCCGGCCTGGGGGGTGGAGGGGTCCGGCGGGGGGGGGGGGGAGGGGGGGGGTTAGGGGGCTGGCCGGGGGGGAGAGCAGGGGGCCCGGCCTGGGGGTGGAGGAGTGCGGCGGGGGCTTGGGGACACTACCGGGGAATGGAGGGGTGCGGAGGGGGGTTAGGCGCCGGGCCTGGGGGGTGGAAGGGTGCGGCGGGGACTTAAGGGGCCGGCCTCGGCGGTAGCCCCGCCCCCAGCCCCGCCCTCCGGCGTCCGCTCACCAGAGCGACCCTGGCCCCCGGGCGCGGCGCCGAACCGTGGAGGGCCGCGCGTGGGGTGGACGCGTGAAGTGGCGCGAACGCGGAGGCCGCACGTAGCCTGGACGCCACCAGGGTCCTGACCGCCGCCATGACTGCTCGGGGACGCGGGTCGCAGGGTCACGCGGTCACAGAGCCCTTTGCGTATCCAGCGTGCCCCGCGCCGGCGCAGTCGGCCCGGCCGCCGTCCCGCGAGCACGCCGGTAGGCGGGGCCGCGCCTGCGCAGTCGCCCTCCCCGCGCTAGCTCTTTGCCCGCGGGCCCGGGAGGGTTTCTCCGTTGAGCCCTTCTAGGTGTTTCCCAGGAGTCAGTTGGCGGGAGACTCCTCTCGTCTACGGCATTTCCAAGTGCGGCAGCTGTTCACGATGCTAAGTGGTCCCCGCGGCGGCCCCGGGCTGCGGACGCCCGGCAGGTGGACGCAGGGCCCTGCCTGCCGCGGGTGTGAGCGCTGCCCGGGCCGCCCTCGGCACAGAGACCCGGGGAGGCGGCAGTAACAGGACAGGAAACGGCTGGAGCCGAGGAGGGGCTTGGGCGGTCCCGCTCCTTTGCTGACCCTTCAGGACGGGCCCGGGACCCTTCCCTGCAGCCGGGCATTCTCCCGCGGGATCCTGGCTTCTCCCGGCTCCTGGGGCCCAGCCCGCCCTCCTCGCCCCCGTCAGGGTCCAGAACGGGAGCCGGCAGGAGCGACGGGGTCGCGGGGTGATACCGACGTGCCCTAGGTCTGCCCCACCCTGAGGAAGGTCCTGCCGCGGATTCTGATTCCGCCGGGCTGGGAGCCACGAGACCACCTCTCCACCAGCCCCGTGGCAGCTCCGGGCCCTGCAGAGCCCCACCTCCCAGTCGTCTGCACCGCCGGGGCGGTTCAGCGGCATTTTAACCTCAAAAATAAAACTCAGTTTTACCGACAAAAACGTGTTCACTGGAGAATAGCAGAGCTGTAGCCCGTGAAAAAGAACCTGCAGGAAAACTGAGACCACAGGCAAATCAGGAAAACAGGGCAGAGGAGCCTCTTTATACAGGAAAAGGGGGCTGGGGTTGTAGAAAGCAAGTCCATTGGAGTGAACACGGAGAGGGTAGTGCAGTGGCCTTTCACTGGCTGGGCCCTGCCACCTCGCACTGGCTGTGACATCTCCCAATGGCTGGGGAGCAGGTGCCCAGGAGGGACAGGGCTGAGGGCTCCCCGTGCGGGCCTCCAGACTCCACTCCAGAGGACAGTTCATTTGTCAACTTTCTGGACTTCATCGGGCACACGTGAAACTTATCAAAACAGCGGTGACGAGCTGCTGAACCAGACAGTGCTGCAGTCGCAGCTGCGTGGAGGGGCTGTGGGTACCCAGTGACAGCAGGGGCCCAAGCACACACACCATGGGTGCACAGCCCGGGTCACAGAGCCCAGGAGCAGGCGCAGGTGGCCTGAGGAGCCCCAGGCTGAGACCCAGCAAACGCTGTACCCACCCACTGTACCCAGTCCAGAAAGTGCTGCACCCAGCTGGGCCCTGTTTCCCTGCCGAGTGGAGGCTGCCTCCACCGAGCCTCAGGGACCAGGACAGGGGGCCTGACGGGAAAGCACAGCTTGTCTCCTCCATGTGGCCCTGCAGAGCCGGCACAGGAGGTCAAGCGAGCTCCCCAAGAGCATGGTCCAGTCCCAGCCCCAGGGATCCCCGTGTATCCCTCTCCAAAGTCAGAGTGCACAGAGACTCCAGGAGACTCCAGGGGCAAGACAGCCTGGGCTGGGGGCCACACAGGTCGGGGCCGTGCGGGCTGGGGCATGGCAGCGCTCCAGCTGTCCCACTCACCCATTCCCCCAGCACAGAGAGGCCAACAGGCAGGTGACCCCAATGATAGAAACACTTTCAATTCAGAGTGCAGATTTAATCCACACTTTTATCATAGAAAACCTCATTTTTTTTCATTTCCAAATCATCAAAACCATATTAAAAATATAAATAATGGTCAAAGTTCGAGTCTATAAAAACGGACCCATTCATCTCTGTAGACAGGCGTCTCCAACAGCAGACGAGCAACATTCACCTTGGCTCACAGCACACAGCTCCCGGGACCATGTGCCAAGCCGGTGCTGGCCCAGGAAGTAGGTGCCGTCCTCCTCCTGTTGGCTTCTCCGCGCCGCCGCCCTCACTTGCTTCCCCGGGCCCAGGCCGCGGGGCTCCATCTCGTCGGCGGTCTTAACTGAAACAAGCAGGGCTGCAAGTGTGGCCAGTCCTACACCAGCTGCCTGTCCCCGTCCCCGTGTCGCACGCCAAGCAGGTGCAGAGTGTCATCATCAGACGCGTCTGCTTCATCATCGCTCCCCGACGGCTCTGAGGGGCGTTTCAGGCCGCGCTGCTTGGACACCGCCAGGGCGTACTGGATGTTATACCGGTTCCAGTCACAGCTGTTCAAAGTGCACAGGAGTCCCGTCAGGCAAAGTGACCGCTCTCCTCTCCTGCCGGGACTCTGGCTCCCTGGGTGCCCCAGCACCTTCCCTGGGACCCCGAGAGCAACTGGCCACAGGTGACCTAGACAGCCTCCCCAGCACGACCAGATCCCAAGGGAGGGGCTGCTGCCTGGCTTCACACCCATTCAAGGGAGCAGAGAGGGGCCCCCAGACTCAGTTCATGCCCCACGTGAGCAAAGTAAAGAGAAAAATCAAACCCGTGTTTCCATGGAGAAAACCACCCGGTATGGACGAGCTCAAGGCAAAGAACTGAGAAAACCACTGCCCTGTGGGAAACCTCAAACAAGATCCAGTTTGGCAACGTAACTGGAGCCCCCCCAGATTAATACACAACAGCAAGCTGTGCCCCCACATCAGCGCAAACCACCACACGTGGGCGTCCCAGCAATGATGCGTTTACAGGATCGCCTCGTCACAAGGAGCCCCGTCTCTCGGACGGAGCTCTGCAGAGTCACAGAGGCCCCAACAAACAGCAGGGCAGCACTGACGCAGGACCCCCACGCCCCCACGGCATCCCAGCGGGCGGCCGGACTCTCAGAAGAAAAGCCTCCAGGAGGAAGGGCTTCTTCAAGGCTCCAAAGGACCAAGGAAGCCATCAAGGACAGAACAAGCCCCTGCCTGCAGGCGCTGGGCAGACACAGCCAGGGCAGGGAACATGCCACTGGGGATGGAGTGGGGACCCCTGGCCACCGGCCCTAAAGGCAGCCCCGGAGACCCCAGGTGCTCTGCGTGCTCACCCCTCCACTCAACCTCAGGGCAGGGGGCAGAAGAGGCGTGAGCCAGGAAGAAAGCAGCTGGCGACAGGACAGAGGCTCCTGACCCCACACGGCACTCCTTCCTCCACTGGTCTGATGGTGGAAGGCACTGGTTTCACTGGGAGAGCGCTCTCTTTTCAACTGAGCGCTCTTTTCAACTCCTGGCCACGCCCCAAGCTGGGACCTCGAGTCCCACCGTGGGGCAGCCCTCCGTGTGGAACCAGCTGGGGATGGGGCCTCCCCCCAGCACCGCCGTCCCCTCCGCATCCCCCCCGCCCCGCCACGGCAACACGTACAGCCTGGAGACGTTGTCCAAGTGCCGCTGGATACTCTTCTGGAGGAACTGAACGGCTGGCAGCACCTTCCCCGCCCTGCACAGGAGACCCACCTCAGTGCACGGCTGCAGCCCACCGCCATGAGGCACCGCTCGCGGGCGCACACGCAGCCTCCCGCCCTACAGAGCCCAACCGACGGACGGGACCACAGCCGACCCCGGGGAAGCACTTCTGACCTGGCCTTCAACTTCTGCCCGTGCACCAGGAGCAACTTCTGCGTCCATATGAGGTAGAACTCCAGGTGGCAAGACACTTCGAAGGATGAAGCCAAGAACTCCAGCACTCTCTCCACGTACAACTCCGGAAGCGAGGAGCTGACCACTTCGACTGCAGGAGCAGGAGAAAACTGGGCTTGGCAGGGATGGCTCCCATCGGGAGGAAAGGGGAGGACGGCTCTGCAGAGCCCCGAGCCCGGACATGGGGTGCTCCCGGCCCCTGGGGGCCCACCCCAGTGCTCACCCTCGTCCCAGGGCACCGACTCCAGCGCCTCCTGCAGCAGCTTCCTCTCGTTGAGCCGGAAGGCCATGAGGATGGCCCTGGTGTAGTCCTGCTGGCGCAGGGCCGCCCGGATGCGCGCGGGGGTGACACCGGTGTCCAGCTCGAACGGGTCAAACAGCATCTGCGTGTCCAGGGAGTAGACGAGGAGTCCCTCGGTGGTGGTGGCTGCCCAGCAGCGCCCTGGGTAATGAAGCCGTCGAGAGCCTTCCCGAACACCGATTTTCACTTTCCCCCACTTTTTTAAAGAACGGGTACTGGGTACGCCCCCGTGGTCCCAAACGCCAACAGCAAGAAAGGCGCATAGGGATGCCTTCCTCCCACTCCTGCCCCAGCCACTGGCTCCTCCGGGGGGAATGGGGGGGTGGCGCCAGGGTCGCCGACACAGGCTCCCCCCCCCCACTAGCGTGTGCTCACGGGAGCAGACACACTCGTGTGCACCAGGCCCGGTCAGCTCCCCGCAGGGGCGCACACCTGTGTCTGTGGGCCACATAGCCTCCGCTGAGACACTGTAGCGGCACCGTGGAGCCCAGAGAAGATGCCCGGACAAGCAGCGCCGCGGGTCAGAAAACTGCAGGCCCCCGAGCGAGGGGCTCCCAGTGCTGTCCCTGGGCCATGGTCTGCAGCCGGGCCCGCACGGTGGTACATGGCCACACACAGCTCTGCGCCCTGCTGGGGAGTGTTGCCTATCGCCCCACCCTAGCCCACTGCAAGCATCTGTGTCCTGCCTGCTCCATGGAACCACGTTTACCTGATGGTCCCAGGCCCTGTGGACACAGAGCCTCCCCCGCGGCCCCTCAGATGACTGCCACACGAGAGTGGAGCTCAGGATGGGTGCCCGCCTCCCCATTTCAATGCCCAGTGGGTCCACGGCCACCCTCTTCACTGTCCTCTGGAGAACAGCAGGGCCCAGGGCCAGCCAGAGCAGCGACCAGCCCTGTCCCTGGGAGCAGAGGTGACAAGCCCAGTGTGCACCGGAAGCCCAGCGGGACTATCCCTGCCCTTCCCAGCTCCAACAACCCACCACTCAGGGCTCACCAGTGGGAGAGAAGCGAAGGGAAGTCACCCTGATTTCAGGCTTGAAGTGCCGAGAGCTCATGTCACCTGGAAAACAGGGCAGTACCTCCCTTACCACTCACAGGATGAAGGCAGGGACCCCGCTGCTCTCCCCTGGCCTTCCCACTCCATCTGCACATGCAGCAGGCCTGTCCTGGGCCCCAGCGGCTGTTTCACAGGTGCCGCTGGCCTCCACAGACGAGCCCTTGGAGCCCCTGCTCCCAAGCATCCACCCAGCTTGGCCAGCAGACAGCTTGTCTGTTTTGGCAAAAGGCCTTGGCCTAACCCCAAGGCTGGGAGGCAGGGTGGCTCCAGTCCCCAGACGCCCATTCCGTCCGGTGCTTAGCGCAGTGCACAGCTCACACGACTTCACAGGGCAGCTCTGCACCATGGAGGCTCAGTCGCTGGGGCATCCCTGCAGCCCGACGTGCAGTGTGGGCTCCCTGGCACTTGGAGCAGCATGAGCCAGGGCTGGAATGAGCTGGCCCAGGCCAACGCCAGAAGGGAGGCCAGCACCAGAGGTGGGAGTGGTGGGGGGGGGGAGGCCAGCACCAGGTTGGGGTGAGAGAGGAGGCTGGCATGGCAGGGCAACTGCACAGCCATGGCCGACACACTGACTTTCTAGCTGCGAGCTGTCCCTTTCTACTGGTCTACTAAAGCCTGAGTGCCACCCCTTCCCTGTGAGGGGCGTGCCCTCCTTGGGCCTCTTTGACTCCAGCTCCCTAATCCCGGAGCTCACAGAGCCCTCCTCGTGGCCCACGTGGGGGTAAGTGTGAGGCACAGGGCCGGGCAGCGGCCAGAGAGCAAAGCTACAGGCCCAGACAGGCAAGGGGGCCATGGGCTGCTCGTGTGTGACAAGAGCTCCTTAACATAAACACCGCAGCCCCAAGAGAAAAGCAAAGCCGCTGTCTCCTGGGAGGAGTGGGTGCTGGGCAGGGCAGCTTGCTGCGGCTGTGGCCTTGGGGGACGCGGGGGCCCTCTGCTCACCTTTCTTCACGCCCGGCAGGGGCACCGCGACTCCATCCTCCACCCCGGCGTCCTGGTCGATCAGCGCCAGGTTGCCAAACTCTGTCATTTTCCTTCGGTTTAGAAACTCCTGGAAGGATGAAACCCCAGGGGTCTTGCTCATCAGGTAGAGGGCAGGAGCCCAGCCCCCAGGCCCTGCTTCACTCACGCGCCACAAACATTGGTGGAGACGTGGCCCCGTGGGGAACAGCCACGGAGCACAAAGATTCCAAGGCACGGACAAGCCGGTTTCACCCCCGCGAGGCGGAAGCTCCTCTGAGCCTGCCGCGGGCGCGTGGGGCCGGGACCCTCCAACGCACCCCCAGCCAGCGCTCCCGCAGCCTCCGTGGGGCCGGCACACGTGGGGGCGTCTGCTCGCTCAGCCTGCCCATCTGCAGGGACCGTCCCCTGCCCCCAACTCAGGAGGGGGCGGGCCTCAGACAGCAATAGGGGCCTGGGCGCATGGAGACGGGGCCTGGGCGTGGCGGGGGGGTGCAGGGCTGGGGTGAGGCAGCCAGCACTCCCCCTCACCTCCATGGCGTCCAGGGAGAGGTTGCAGGAGATCTCGAACTTCTTCCTGAGGATCTGCTCCTTGACGTGGTAGATACACACGAACTTGGACATCCCACCCGCCAGCACGCTCCGGCCGTCCGCGGAGTAGCACAGCGTGGTGAAGGCCCTGAAGCCCAGGGCACAGGAGCCTCGTCACTGCTGAGACCCCCGACGGGCGGCTCCCCACCCCCCAGCCCAGCCCAAGCCCCGGGGGGCTCCGTCCTCAGGAGGCTCTGGCCTGGGCCTCACAGGACACCGTCACCCACTGGGCTCCGCAGCAGCACCACCCCCAGGAGAGACTGCGGAGACATGACCCTCTCTCGGGAGGGCCCTCCTGGGGCGGGACAAGGAGGCCACTTTGCCTGCCACACGCACAGTGGCCACTGGCAGGGCTGCCTGCTCAGCCCCATGCGGGGGAAAGCTGGGCCCCCGCCGGCCGGGCTGCTCACGGGACACGAGAGCGTCGTGTGCGACACCAAAGAACCCAAGCAGCAGAAGAAAGCGGCGAGACGTCGTGCACCGGAACGTGCTCGTGCCGCAAAGACACCGCGGAGAGCGAAAGAGCCCGGGGCGGAAAGCGGGACGTCCAAGCCCGGATCCTCCGAGCGTCGCCTATCGGGACCTCGCAGACTCTCCCCGACCCAGGGGAGCGGACACCCCGGACGACCTCCTGCAGCCCCGGGAAGCACGAACCAGAACCGCACGCAGAAAGCACCTCGGCCCGGCCCAGAGGGCAGTCGTCCAGAAGCCCGCGGGAACAGGGTGGGTGGCAGGCGAGACCGGCCGCCGCAGGTGGTGCAGCCACTTTGTGAAACGCTCCAGATCCTCACAGAAGCAAAGCCTGGACACCGCGTGACCCCCCAGCGATTCCACCCCAAGACACACCCCCAAAAACCTAAGAAAAGATGCGCTCAACAGCCGCCAGTCCCGCCCAGCCTGCAGCCCAGGGGGCACGAGGACGTGGAGACTGACCAGCCACAGACCCGACACAGGCCCCGTGTCCCCCAGGAGGGAAGAGCCCCGAGGCCACACAGACCCTGGACTTCGCGGCAGGATCCGCCGCAGCTGCTCGCAGAGACACTCACTTCCCCTTGGCCGAGTGCTTGGCCGTGACCTTGTCCAGCTCCTTTCTGCCCGTCCTGAGGTCATGCCTGCCCTCGATGGAGCCCGTCTGCACGGCGTTCTCAGGGTCCCAGAAGGTGATCTGGGAGTTCAGGGTGGCCACAGCCAGCTCCGCGCCGTCAGGGCGAAAGGTCACGGCCAGAGCTGGAGAGAGATGCGTCATCAGGGCCAGAGCAAGAGCTCACGGTCCCGCCGGCGGCCGCACCCTCCCCACCTTCAGCCGGCCTCACGCCGGGAAAGCCAGGCGGGCACCAGCACCCCAAGTCTGCACGTGACAGGTGGGGGCCCCCGGCTCTCCCCACAAAAGCTCCACCTTGTGGGAGAGGCCCCAGGCCCCAACCAGCTCTGGGGCAAGAGGCCCCAGGTGGGGCTGTCCCAGGATAGCCCCAGGCCAGCCTGGTGGGAGGGTATAAGCAAAAGGCCAGGCTGGGCAGGGGAAGGCACAAGGAGACCGCAACAGAGCCGCAGGACAGCCCCCAAACAGACTAGCGGGTGGCCAGGGCTCAGGGTGGAGGCCCCTCGGAGAGCCAGGCTGGCCGTGCAAGCATGTCCCAGAGCCACGTGGGCAAGCAGAGACACTGAGGAGGCCGCGGAGCCCAGGGGCCCACAAAGCACCCGGGAGGCATACGGGGTAGGACGGCTTCACCCATGCACACAGATGCCAAGGCTCCGGGTAGCCTCCTGCGCCTACAGTCACCTCGGGGTCAAGAACAGCAGCTGTGTCTCAGGGACGGCAGCTCAGGGGGGAGCGCCTGACTCGCTCTCTGGGAGAGGAGCCTGACACGGAGAAAGAGAACAGGGCCACCAACCCCAGTAGCTGGGCGTCCGGGTTTATGCGTACATACAACTGGGACAGATGGATAATGGCTCCAAAACGAGGCCTCCCTCCCCAGATGACACCTTGTACCTGTGCCCCCCATGCACCCACCATCCGAGGTCAGGCCCAGCGTCTCTGTGGTCCTCCAGCTGTCTGCCATGTCCCACAGGCGCACCGTCCTGTCCCAGGAGGCACTGGCCAGGACCGACTTCACCGGGTTAAAGCACAGACCGCTGATGGGGCCCTCGTGACCAGACAGGACCTACAGTGTCCAGAGAGGAGGTACGAAAAGACAGCCCCGGGGACCGCGCCATGTACCAGGCCTGCGCACCGAGGCTGCAGGATGGGCGGGCTGACAACGGTCTGGGTCTCAGTGCAGGGGGGAGGAACCACGGCCAGAAGACGCCACTGCCCCTCCCGTGGGGTCCGCAGAGGCACCCTCCCACGTGCTGTGTCCCCCACCCCCCGCCCCCAGACCGGACACTCACGTCCAGGAGCCTGCCTGTCTGCATGGACCAGATGAAGACCTCGAAGGAGTCCTGGGCCCCGGCGGACACGACCTCCCCGCTGCAGTCCACGGCCACACAAGAGAACTGGGTGGGCCGCGGGGACGTGAAGGTGCGGAAGTTCCGGTACCTGCCCGGAGACAGGCCTCTGGCTGGCACGGCTCACAGAGCCCCAATGCCCCAAGTCCCTGGGGCCCCAGGGTTCGGGCTCATCCTGAGCCTGTCTACACTACGTGCTTCCCGGCAAGCCCTCAGTCGCGCTCTCGAGGCTTGCCAGAGAGAGGATGGAGCGGGCAGGTCACCTGTGAAGGTCGAAAGCACGCACAGTCCCGTCCATGGAAGAGGTCACAATGACGTAGCCAGTGGCCGTGAAGGTCACACCGGTGACCCCGCTCGAGTGCTCCGTGAAAGTGATGAAGCAGAAACCACTGAGGGTGTTCCACACCTTGACCTACGGGGTGGGGGGCGGGGAGTGAGGGGTGAGGGGCGGGGCTGGGCACAGCTCAGGGCCACATGCATACGCACGGGTCATCTCAACCACGCCCCCCTCCACAGCTGTGCACACACCTGCCCCTCGCCCCTATGAGAGGCCTGGGGTCTGGCGGGGGCCCGTGTCACCCCAAGAGGCACAACGAGCTCGCACCCATGTGACACGGCTGTCCCCACGGACTGACCCCTAGCCGATCAGCTGCATGAACACCGGAGGCCACGCCGTTACCAGAGAAACAGCCAGCCGGCTGTCCCCTCTAAGTCCTGGGGAGCCTATGGGACACCTTCTCATGAGCCTGGATGCAGCAGGGTGAGCCCCAGAGTCGGGGCCTGGCTCTCTCTCCCCGGGGGCCAGGAGGACGAGACCGCACGCCCCTCCCACCCCAGGCCGAGCCCCACCTTGCCGTCATCACCGCCGGTGGCGAGGTACTGCCCGTCGGGGGAATAGGCCAGGGCCACCATGCTGCTGAAGTGGCCTTGCTGCTTGAGCACGTAGGACTCGCTCTGCCACTCCCACACCAGCAGCTGGCCCAGGCCTGCAGAGTGCATGCAGGGATGGGCTGGGGACTGTCCCCGACACGCGGCCTGCAGGCAGACCCAGGCAGCCGGCACCCTGACCGTCTGACCCACCGAGGCTGCTGTCCCCAGCCCCCTAACCTGAGAGAGGGTGCCCGGCAGAGACTGATGGCCTGAGTCACCGTCCCGCAGGCACCTGCTCCAGCACCCCCAACCCCCAGAGGCCCACAGCCACGGGCCCAGCGGCGGACCAAGAACGGGGCTCGGGCAACGGGGAGTTCTCAGCTCCGAGGGGTGCCCAGCTCCCTCCCACGAGAGCCCCCGGCCCACCCAGTGCACTCGCTCGCACCGGCACATGGAAGGGGCTTATCCCGGGAGCTGGCGCAGCCCCGCAGCTGGGGGGCAAGGGGACCACGTCAGCAGTCCCAGAGCAGCAGCTCTGCTCTTGTCCCCGCGCGACCCCACACCAAAGCGCACCTGAGCAGCCGAAGGCGACCCAGTCCCCGGAGCCGTTGATAGCGATGGACGCGATCCTCTGGTCAGAGACGCTGAGCAGGAGCACACCATGGGGGCAGGGGGCAGGCGGGCAGTACCGTCAGCCCCGGGCCACCGCCCGCCTGGCGCTCTGCACCCCCCCCCCGCCATGGTGCCAAGGGGGCGCTCACCTCAGGGAGTGGATGAGGTTAAACTCGGGGAGCTCGTGCAGGTGGAAGACGCCAGAGGCGAAGCCGGTGACCAAGAGGTGGGTCGTCTTGTGGTACGCAGCGGCTGTCAGCTTGTTAAAATCTCCCTCTTTGTTGAAAAAGTACCTAAGCAGACGGGGGTTCTGAGGAGCTGTGGGTGGGGCCAAACGGCCACGCTGACCTCAGCCTGCCCTGGCCCCCGGGATCCCCAGGCCATGGGCCCTGGACCCGCGGCCCTGCTGCCCTGGCCTCTCGCTCCCGCTCCCCGAGGCTCGACCCTCGCTGAGCCTCCCTGCCCCTGCCCCTGGGACACGAAGCGGCTCCCAGCCAGCCCCCCAGCCCGGCCTGCTCTCCAGGCTGGCGCATCACATGGCAGCCCTGAGGGCGGGAGCCCCGCCACCCCCAGGGACACCTACTTGGCCAGCCGCGAGTACTTCACTTTCCCCTGCTGCTCCTCGGCCGCCGGCGCCACCTTTCCCCGGATGGTGCTCTCCTCCTCCCCCTCCTCGTCGTCCTCCTCCTCCGCGCCCTGCAGCAGCTCTGCCCTCCAGCCCGTGGGCGCTTTCAGCCGCAGGCCCTCGGGGGGGGTGTCACACTGCCACACACACAGGGCGCCGTCCTGGCTGAGGGTGTAGAGCTGTAGAAGGAAATGGGTGGGATCGTCCTGACGCCGGTGCCCACCAGCCACGGGGCAGGCTCGCGGTCCCGGCTTCCCCTGGCCTGTACAGCCCGCCCCCAAGCGCTGGAAGAGATGACCGCAAGGGACAGCCAACAGGTGCCGCTGCTCCCTGAACAGCCCCAAGTGACCCGGGAGGGTGCCTGCATCTAGGGGGTGAGGCTGGTGCGTGGCTGCCATCTGGGATGCCGCTGGGCCCCCTGGGGACGCACGTCCAGACTGTTGGACTCAAAGAAGCAGGCCACGATCGCGTCCTTGTGTCCCCCCAGCGCGTAGTAGATGAGGTTGTCCCAGCGCTCGGCTCCAAACACCCACGTGGACATGTCCTTGCTCCCGACGGCAAAGCACCTGGACAGAGGAGACCGGGCTTGTCCTCAGGGCTCCCGGTGGAGCGCCAGCCAGCACGGGGGAGCCGCCCAGGGTGACCAGCCCGGGTCTGCCCGGCCTGGATCTCCCCCAGCGTCGGAGGTGCCCCCACGTTCCTCAGGGTTGAATCACCGTCCCTCCTCACAGAGCTGTCCCTCACGGGGTGGCAGCGCAGGGGGGGCTCTGAGAAGTGACCGCCAAGCCCATCGGCGGCCACGTGGGGAGCCCCACTCCTCACGCCTCCCTGACTCCCCCTCCATCTGAGGGGGCCCCGCTCCTGGCTCAAGCGCCAGTTCCCGGCGGTGCCTCGCCGAAGCAGCAGGGCGCAGGGCGGCGGGTTAGGCGGCAGGGGGCCCCGCTCCGGCCCCGAAGACCTGTCTGCCAGGAGCACAAGGGTTGCACTGTCCCCCTGCTCTGCCCCCCATGGTGCCCGACCCCAGACTGGCACCAGCCACCAGCCCCCATCTGTCCCTGTGCAGACCCCGAGCCAGCAGCCCTCTGGGACGGCAGGAGAGCAGCCGTGAGAAGACGGGGCCGGCGCCCCTGCCGGGAGAAGCCCCCCAACCCTCCCACGGACACGGCTGCTCTGACATGCAGCACAATGGATTCTGGTGCCATTGTCAAGGACCCGAAGCTGCGCTCTGGTTTCCAGAGACAGACGCCAGGCCTGTGCCGGCCCCGCTCACAGCCAGGAGCCCACCGGCCTCCAGCCCCAGCAACGCTCAAGAGAGACCATTTCCAGGTGGAACTCCGGGATGTGACAGGAGTCACCAGGGCTCCCCATCCAACACGAGGCCCCGCCCCCGGGTCTCACCTGGAGTCATCTGTCCAATCGATGCACGTGGTCTCGTCGTAGGGCCCAAAGTAAGTTTTGTCCAGGACGAAGGCATTGAATTCCCGCTTCCTCCCAGGGGCGTGGTACATCTGAGCGACGTTGCCTTTCGTGACAACGAACTTCCTGTGGCAAACGGGCCGTCAGGGTCCAACACCCCCAAGTCCAGAGCCCAGTGCAGAGCCCGAGGACAGCACCCCTGCCCGGAGCAGTTTCCTACGAGAGGCGAATGTGGGGGCCCGGCTCTCCACGGCCCCCAAACCCCGTCTTCTCTCACGGGGACCCTGAGCCCTGCCACTCCGCTGTCCCGGAGCACAGGCACCCCCGGAGCTCTCACCAGCCTGGGGGACAGCCGCCAAGACCGGGCCACACTTGGACCAGCCCCGGGGGAGCTGGAAAGACAACACGGGCTCCGTGCGACAGGCAGAGGAGTGGCCGCTGCCTTCTAAGGGATTTCTGAGGCTGGACATGGGTTGGGGGCTCAAGGCTGAAACCCAGAGCCGCCCCCTCCATGGCCCATCCAGGTCAGTCTGGGCATGAGCACCCCAGGATCGAGCCCTGAACCCGGAGCAGGGCTGGGTCCAGCCAGGACCCTATCCGCACACACTCTGCTCCCTGTGGACCTCAAACTGGGGGTGAGAGCTACTCAGAACCAAGGACTCCTCTGTGGCTCTGTCTGGAGACTGCAAGAGCGTCCGAGGCCCACGACTGTTCTGAAGCGGTTCCAGTGGTGCAGCTTTAGAACCAGCCGCTCCAGACAGGAGCACCAGCTGCGGAGGACGGAGAGCAGGGCCTGTGGCCACGTGGCCCGACGGGAGCCTAGAGGGCGGCCAAGAGGAGGCCTGGGCACGGGCTCCCACGCTGATGCCTCTAGTCAGAGGAGCGCCCGAGCCCGGCTGCACCCGCCATGGGGTCTGGACTTGGCGCGCGCCCTGCCCCGAGCCCCGGGCCCCTACCTGCCATCCGGAGAGAAGGACACGCTGTGCACCGAGCCCTTGAAGTGGAAGTGGTGCAGCACGGACCTGCACACCAGGCTGACCAGCAGCGCATCCCCCCCTGCGGGAGGAACAGTGGCAGGTGTAGAGTCACGCAGGCGTGGCCCAGCCTAGGATGACACCCGGGAATGTCCACGTCCCCCCGCCACGCCCTCACCCCAAAGCCCAAGACAGTCTCAGGCAAGAAAGCGACTGGGGGAGAGGACTGGAGGGGCTGAGACCCCGGTGGCATTGGTGCTGGCCTCGAGTCACCCTGCCACCTGCCTTGCCTGCCCCCCAGCTGCCTACGCTGCCGCCTCCCTGCCGAGGGCGCTCACCTTCATCGACGATGATGGCCAGGCGGCCGTCTGGGGACAGCCCTACGCACTTGACGTTGTACCGCGTAGCCAAGGGCAGAGTGTTGGATTTGTTGCTGAGAGACAAAAACCGCAGCGGTGTCGCTGGTCTCAATCATGAGACAAGGAGAGGGCGGCCTCAGACCACCCACCCCTTACCCCCCTCCTGTCCCTGGCCGGCTCCGGGGCCAGAGCTCACGGCTGGTCCCCAGCTCCCTTCTGGAAAAGAGGAAATAAGACCAGGTCCCTGCAGAAAACTTGGCAAAACATATTCAAAACCTTAAAAACGGGCTTTGGTTTGGGGAACCCGGTGGTTCAGTCAGTTGAGCGTCTGACTTTTGATTTTGGCTCGCGGTGATCTCAGGTCACGGGATGGAGCCCCACGACAGCCTCTGCGGTCAGTGGGGAGTCTGCTCGAGGTCCTCTCTCCTCTGCCCCTCCACATGCACAGGCACACAGGCAGGCACGCACGCCCCCTCTCACACAAAAAAGTAAACTGGGGGGGGGGGGACTCTGTCCTTAGAAGTGCATCCCAGGAGTACTCCGCGAAGGCTATCAAGTCCCCAAACTGGAAATGCGCTAAATGTTCCCCAGAAGGAGTTAACCCCAGGGCCTGCACAGCCGCGTGAGGCTGTCATCACAGGATGGGAAAGTAAGTAACACGAGAAGCAAGAAGGCAGCAGCCGTTGGCTTGGACTAACTCTGCGCCCCACTCTTCTGCTCTCTGGTTTCCACCAAGCGTGCGGTCCTCACTCCAGCCCCGTCAGCTGTGACCATCTTGCCTGCTGGCCCAGGGTGCCCCGCCCGGGCACTGCTCTTGGGGGCGCCAGGAAATGAGTCCCAGAGAGGATAGGGACCATCGTCCCACTGCACAGACCGGGAGGCGGAGCCTGCAAAGCCAGACACAACTCCAGGCACCCCCGGGCAACAGGAGGGTCTCACCCTGGCCACGTGACTCTGGGAAGGGGTGACAACCGTTCAGGAGTCCTTCCCCTTGAGGAGAAAGGAACAGAGCCACGTGCCGGTTCAGGAGAAGGAAAGTGAACCTGGCAAGTAAAACTGGGCTGCGGTGAGCTTGGCGCTGGCCCAGCAGAGGGTCCAGGGTGGCCTCCCGAGCCAGCACCCAGCACGATGACTGAGACCCCAGGGCTTAGGCGAGGGCCTAGAGGGACTAGAGCAAAGCAGTCCCACGAGTGAGGCGCTGACACTATGCGCACCTGCAGAACCTCCCGGCTGCCCTGGGGCGCGGGGGAGGGGGTGCACTAGGAAGGGGAGGCGGAGGGAGACGGTCAGTGTCTGCTGCGCGCGCAACCGTCCTGCTGTTCGAGTCATTTCAACACGTACTTTTTAAGGTCGAACACAGTGACTCTGTTTCCCACAGGGCTGATCAGTGAATTTCCATCACACGTAAAATTCAAGTTTCCACACCGATACACTGTCCCCAGCAAATTTGAAAACTGAAAAGCAAGTAGGCCATCTTAGTACAAAGAAAGCTCCAAACTGCAGGAAAGGCTAAGGGAGGCCTCTGGTCCAGGGCGGTGCAGAGCTCCCCCGCTCCCCCAGGTCCCTGGCCATTCCTGCGTCCTCCTGGCACGCTTCCTGACCACCTATGCAGCCCGGCCAGGAGGGACGCAGGAAGGGGAAGGGAGTCCCGGCCCCGGGGGCTCCAAGCCCCTGCCAAAGAGGGTGAGGGCCACTGTGAGCGTCTGGGGAGGGGGTCTCCACACACGAAGGGGACCCACCCTGCAGGGAGAGAAGAGCTGAGCAATGGACGGCAACCCCCCAGCACCCTGGCTCAAGGCCACCCCAACAAAGCAACCCTCCGGAGTCCAGTCCGGGAACTCATCAGACTGAAGGGCGCCCTGGAGACGGCGCTGCGCCCCGGGTCTGCGCCCTGCAGGCCCTCCCAGTCTCCACCGGCCAGGCAGGGCCGCGAAGAGCTCAGCACAGAGCGCGAGCACGGCCTGCAGGGCAGCGCGACGGGCGGACCTGATCCGCAGGCGGGTCGGGTGGGACCCCGGACAGCAGGAGCCGCGCGCGGGAGCGCACCGGGAGCAGCCCTGCCGGCGGCGTCCGGGCCAGGCCGGGGCCCCGGAGGTGTGCGGAGCCCGGCGAGGAGCGGACCCACGGGGCTGGCACGAGAGCGCGTAGAGCGGCCCCGCCCGCGAGGAAGAGGAGGGCAGGGGCCCCGCGAGCCGCCGGGAGCCAGGCCGCCGCCGCTCTCCGCGCCGGGGCTCGCGCTCTCCCGCCGCCTGTCCGTCCCGTCCGGGGGCCGCCGCGCACCGCCCCGAGGCCGGCCGCGCGGGCTACAGGCTGACAGTGCGCTCCGGCCCGCGCGCGCCCAGGCCCCGTTCTCCCGACCCGCCTCCGCTCCCCGGACCCAGCGCCGCGAACCCTCCGGCTGCGCCCGCGCTCACCCGGTACGCGAACTTCATCGCGGCCGCCGCACGTGTGCCGCCGCGCAGCCGCCGCGCAGCCGCCGCGCCCCGCCGCGCCCCGCCCGCCAGCCCCAAGCAGGCACTTCCGGGCCTGGCCGCGCGGCACCACAGCGCCCTCAGGAGGCCCGGAGGGGCGGTGTCCCCCGAAGAGGAGCTCAGCCTTCAAGCCGCGCCCACGCCTCCTCCCGGGGCGGAGCCCTGCCCGCGGACCCCGCCCCCGCCACGCCCCGGAGCGGAGCCCAGACCTCGTGCCCCGCCCCCGCCGCGCTTCGAGGCTGAGCTCCGTCCCGCGGGCCACGCCCCCGCCACGCCCCGAGGCGGACCCCGGGCCTCGTGCCCCGCCCCCGCCGCGCCCCGCGGCCTAGCCGACCCCTCCCGCGGCACACCGGCCTGACCCGCCGCGAGGCTGGAGCTCGGGTCCAGCCGGGTGGCCTCGCCCCCGCGCCGCTCAGAAGGTTGAGGCCCGGAGTAGACGAGGCGCCCCGACTCCACCTTCACTTAACGGCTCCGCAGGACGAACGGGGGGACGGGGCCCGAACAGGGAGCCGCGCGGGGAGCCGGAGACGCGCACGGGCAATACGCGAGCGCCGCGGCGGCAGCTCCCTTCCCAGGCGTGCGGCCCGCGGCTCCGTCTAGGGGTGCCCCGAGCCCGGAGGCTCGCACGTCTTCGGTCCTGCGGGCTGCGGGGTGACGAATCACGACGAAAACCCCCGTGGCCCCGCGAAGCGGGCGGTCGGAGCCGGAGTCCGCAGCAAGGGTCGGGGGAGAAGACGGGGACGTCCTTCAAGTCCGCGCACGCGACCTCCGTGCGCCTCAGCCAAAGAATGACGTTCAGACAGCAAAGTTTCTTCTTAAAATGTGTATTTCCAGAATGACAGTGCTTACATTTTAAACAGTCTTAATACAGTGGTTTTAGCCTAACGGTATATTACAGAATAATGTGAAAAATGACTCTCCCAGTAACCATGAAAACGGAGTTGGTTTAATACCTGCAGCGTCAAAGTCACCAGCTGGCCACCTGCTCCAGTCTCGGAATCCCAGCCTTTCGGGTCTGACAGCCGGGCGCATGCGATGAATAAACCGAGAGGGGCGCGTTCATGAAAACGCAAATGAATTCCAAAATCATGGGTTTATTTTAAAGATCACAGCGGACAGCGAAACATTCAGATCAGCATAGTTCAGTCTTTAAAAAGTAGTATAACTTCTTATTTTTATGGACACATCTGGAGTGTTTCTTTAATTTGATTCTGTAACTCAATCTTATTTTAATCACTCAAGAAAAACCGATCAGAAGCCTGTGTGTGTTGTCTCTGCTGACCACAAACATCAACCGAGACCTACTAGCATAGAATCCAACCCACGACCTGCTGCACTGACAATGGACTGGAGGTGAAAGTCATTTTCAGATTAAATACAATTTCCACATTAGAACCAGAAGTTATAATTTTTCCAATCACAGGAAACCCCATGAAATTCACCAAAATTATAACTTATATCCCTTTCCACTTGCTAGTATTTCATGTTGCACAGTATGTGTAAAATGGCTGCATCTTCTGCCTTTTAGATGCTCATTTGATATCCGGCTTCACAATTATTTAACAGCTGCTACATCTTTATTAACAAAACCAGCTCGTCTCAAACACATAAGCCTTATTTTGAGACATAGCAGAAACCCAATTACTGCTTTAAAAAAAAAAAAAAAAGATGAAGTTTTAGGCAACATGTTTCATTTCTGTAGAACAAAACCGAACAAAAATAGAGGCACTCACCCAAAAAATCTTATGGGTAATTGGGGGGGGGGGGCAAACCAGCCATAAATTTGAATTTATACCAATTGAAAACAGTAAAAAAAACACCAAGAACAGTTAGGATTTCTCCATTTTCCCCCGAGTATGTTATGCAACTAGAGAGGATTTCGTCTGGGGTTAGAACCCAGACACAAAAAAATCAAACAGAAACAAGGTAACCATCGAATCACGCCCCCCCCAGGGGGAGAGGGAAAGCCACATGATACTCAGTGTGAGCCTTTTCTGCCAGAATCAAATCTCAAAGTTCTCCTCACTCAAAGGGCTTGGCCGGTCTGGAGGCCATCGTCAATGTTTACAACAAAACAGGTTTATTTGAGAAACCCTAACCTATCTATCATTAGATTCTGAAGTTCTAATTTGCCTAACTAGTTGACCAAGTCGATTAGTTTTAAAGTGCACCTAAGGAAGATAGTTTTCTGAACGGTTTAATTAAACACACCAATATTCGTCTTCTTTACACGTTTCCAATTTCTGTAAATGAAAAAGACATGGGGCGGGGTGCGGGGACTCACACCACCTCATTTGTTGAGGGAGTGGAAAGACAGAACACAGAAGGGTGCACACAGCCGCTCTGTGTACCCCGAGCCGCCCCGTGGCCCCCGCTCCCCGCCGCGCCACCACACTGGCCTCTCCCGCAGGCGACCGGCAGGACCGGTGGCACCGGTGGCTGCGAAGGTCCCTTTCCTCTGGGGCTCACATGCTTGAGGCTGCCCCGACCTCTGTCGGACCTGACTACACTCACTCGATCCGTCTGCTCCGCTCGATTCCAAGCACGCTTTCCCAGGGAAGTAAGAGTTCTCTATTTCTTATGTACAAAAATACATTGCTCTGGAGAGCTGGAAAGGGTTCCATACACCCAACACTTATTTACAAGCTGTGACTCTCACACCAGTAAAAACAAACACACATTTATTTTCTCCTTGATTTTTGGTGCAACTTATACATAAACATTACATCCGTTAGTCTGTACTTTTAAAAATAATAAATCAACCATATGTACAATTAAATTTACAACCAAAAGCAAATTAACCCATTGGTATGGCGTGACTGCGATCTTAGTGGACCGGCAGAGAATATTCCAAGACTTTTCGTCCTTCCCACAACCAAACTAGAAGCACACTGAGAGGGCCGCCCCCCCAGTCCCCCTGAAATGGAGCCTCTTAATGTCTAGGACTTAAGGTGCAGAAGAAACAAACTGATTATACAGTGACGATGACATGTCAACACTTTAAAGGTGAGAAGAAAACAACATACCACCCCCCACATATATAATGGTAATTAAAATAAATACATATTTAATTTCAAGTGCATATTGACATTCAGTCAACATCCTGGGGAACAGGGGTTCCAGAAACGCTTGTTCCTAAAGTAGTTCAATGCCAAGGTGTCCCTTAGGCCCTGGTCTCGTCTTCCCCGAGTACCTTTAAGATGGCTCCAGCTAATGGAGGCTCCAGGTCCACCCAGGGGGCCACCCCAAGGCACAGAAGGGGGGTCCTTCCGTTCCCTCCCCACCCAGCCCTCGGCCTCACTGACCTGCCCTAACAGGGTGTAATTCTAGAAAATCACTACGTATCTCGGGTAAAAGATGGTGTTTCACCCCCCAGGAGACTCACAAATCCACCCGGGCTGGAATCCACAGGGCAGCCGTGTGACCAGGAAGGCACACACGTGTGACGACTAAGACGGCAGGGCCTGCCGTGTGTCTCCCTGGAAGGCACACGGACTCCATGAGGAACCAGGAGACGGAGAGGCGGCCAGGTGAGGGCGCAGGGAGGGGCGGGGCTCTGGGCAGACACCACAGGACGCCAACACAGGGACCCAGGGATGGGGACAGGAGAGAGCAATGAGTCCTCTTACAGCATGGACAACACAAAATGACGCTGGAACTCAGCCGACCGGCCGCACGCCGAAAATCCTCCGATGCTTCCGTGGCCAGGCAGAAGCACCGCGAGTCCGGGTAGCGCTAGAATGTCACAATGGAGAGAGCAATGGAGCCAGGATCCCTTCCCGTGCGCCCACACCCGGCGGGGGCGTGTGCGGACCCGAGGCACGGTCATGTGACGCTGACTTCGAGGACGTGGTCGTCTTTGCTGGGGATGACCAGGACCTGCGTGCCCGAGCTCGAGTTGAAGACCTGGCCCTGCGGCAGCGCCTGGAGCCGGGGCATGGGCAGGCCTTTGTGCTCGCCGCTGGAGGCCAGGTGCGCGCTGCCCCGACTCCTGACACTGCCGCTGTCCGGCTGGTCGTCCAGGTGCTTGTCCAGCGACAGGCTGTCACTCTCTATCCAGCTATCTGCAAAACGCACCACGGGTGACACCCCAGCCGGCGACCCGGCCCCAACCACCCCAGGGAGCAGCAAGCCACCCCAGCAGCCTTCAGCGCATGAGCAAGCCAGGCGGCCCCTCTAAGATTAGCAAGCCCACGACCGTCTGAGGACCCGCGGCGGCTTCTGAGCAGATGCCCACAACCTGCGCCCACTCCCCCTGCCGCCGCCCCCCCCCCCCCGCCGGCTGCTGCCCATGAGCAAGCCCAGTGCCTGCGAGGTGAGCATCCCAGTGCCCGCACGGAGCTCTCCCTCCCTCCAACAGCAGCTGCACCTTTCCCCTTCAAGCGTCCTTACCAGCGTCCAGTTGTGAGGAGTGCGCCGAGTGGTGGGGGAGGTATTTAAACAGCTTGACGTCGGGGAGGGGGAGGTAGCCCGCGAAGAGGGGCATCACCTCCATGTGGACGCGGTGCGTGGCCTGGGCGGCCACGGGCATGGAGATGACACCGGAGCTCTTCCCGCAGACCGCCCAGTTGCTACTGTTGTCGACCACTGAAACAGAGGGAGAGCACTGGTCGGGCCCCAGCAAGGGCCATGCACAGCCCCCACTCCACAGCGTCAATGCAAACCGGACACATTCTAGACCTTCCTGTCCTCTGACCGCACCTCAACAGGGAAGCGTGGCTCCGCGACAAGATACATGCGAGAGCCACAGGGAAAATCACCTTCTTTTCGAGTTCATAAATGAACAGGGATTCGGTTTTACTCAAAAACTTTGTATGTCAGGCTTCCAGAGTAGGGGGGCTCTGGCTGTGGAATCTGGAACAGGGACGGGACAGGGTAACGGTCCGTCTAGGAAGTGGTGGCATCAGACCAGGGATCCCCACCCCAACTCTGCCGCTCAGACGAGCCTCTCGATGGCACAGAAAGAGCTTACGGAAAGGCCTTCTCCCAGCACA